GTACGGTGTCGAATAATTTGGTGTCGAATAAATCTGTGTCGAATCGAGCGGTGTCGAATCGTACTGTGGTCAATAGAGTATCACCCCAAACCTTTAGTTCCAGCGTTGCTAATGCTCTAAAAAGTTGTGAAAGAGATTTTAAGCTATTAGAATTCCAAGGTGCAACACCAACAGCAGAATTTTGTCCAAAAATAAATGATAGTTTTGACTTGCTTAATTCAAGTAACGTTTTAACAAAACAATATACTGAACGAGCAATTTGCGTAGAAAATTTGCAGGACATAAATATACGTGCAGAAAAATTCATTGAATATATTGAATCATTAAAACTATATAATAAACCTACACTTCAAACAAAAAATAAGACAGGTTTTTTGGGATTCATAATATGTTTAAAATCTGTCATTTTCTTGGCTGAAAAATTATTTGCAAAAAAGTACATTACATTTTTGTTGACATACAAACTATCCCAAGATTATGTAGAAACGTTTTTCGCTTGTGTTCGACGATTTGGTGGATGCAACAATAATCCCACAGTACGACAATTCAAAGCAGCCTTAAAAAAATTGCATGCACATGTTAACATTAATATTGTATTCAATGCAAATTGTACTCTTAAAGATGATACGGTTATCTTGAAATTACATGCTGAAAATTATAATCATAAGGAAGATAATGAGACAAAAATTTTTATTTGGGAGATGTAGAGCATGATTATTGTATTCAACCAACAATAATATTCAGTGAATATCAAAAGGATATTTTAGCGTATATTGCAGGATTTGTTGTTAGACAAACAGAAAAAAAAATAACATGTGATTCCTGCATTGAAGGCTTAAAACAAACCGTATCACCGTCTCAGCTGCAGAAACGAAAACAATATGGCAATTAGTTAATGCATCAGACGATGTCATAAAAATCTGTAAAGCAGCAGAAAATATTTTTAGAACAAGTGGAAACATATTAAATTCTAAAAATGTTAAAGAGAAACTAATAATGTTAACAATACAAAATCTTCCTGTGAATGATTTGTTCATTGGAGTGGAGCATGTTTTTAATCAGGCACCCCATTGACGAATCACAGAAATCAATTAATCCGAATTTTATTAGAAAAGTTTTTTGTCCTCCGTCTTCTCCATTATGCAGACTCAAAGGATAATAAAATTAATAGAATACGAGCAAAATGTACAAAATTTATTTTATTCAAAAACCAATAATAACACAATAAACTTATTGCACTTAATCATGTACTAAGGCTTTGCGCACAATATAGAAAAATATTAGGAATAGGAATACATATTAAATATTAGGAAACAAAATTAGAAATAATGTTACATTAAACAAGAGGACGGAATAAATTAATTATTTTAACTTTATATTTTTTACCTTATAATGTATTAATTTATTCTATTTTCTTGTTTTGTAAAGACATAATTTAAAGTAATAATTTCTTATTTCTAATATTTAACATATATTTCTCTTCCCCTAATATTGTCTATTGTGCGCAAAGCATACTGTTTTATATCACCTAACCTACCATCACTCCTTAATCTCTTTCATTCCTCTTCATCCCTACTATTTTTCTATCTCCACTTTTCCACTACTATTCAATCAATCAGCAAAGACTTCTTCTTCCCCCACTACTTTGCTAGACAGAGATGAGGCTACTATTCAACACTAGCTGTCTCTCTCAACGTTGGAGACATTTGCTTAACATGGCAAAGGTAGGGAACGCGCAGTCTATATATTATACGTCTATGGGCAAAGGTAGAGAACGCGCAGTCTATCTTCTTCTTCTTTGCATATATGGCTCATGCCCCTGCGAGAGAGGAGCAAACGCCAGTCTATAGATATACATTCTCAGAACGAATGTGGGGGGGGGAATGTGCAGTTTTTACCTACTACCACGTAATACATGGCCGTTTTTCACAATAGGCGTGCCCATCTATGTCGGGCTCGTGCTCAAGGTGTTATGACTACAATCGCCTTGTGGGAGGAAAATTAATTCGGGATTACACCCGAATTAATTTTTGGAGGCCCAATTAAGTTCGCCAATCAACCGATAAACTCGGTCGAAAGAGACTGGCCCGGAAAAAATCCTTAGGTGGTGAGCGGATTCGAACTCGGGACCTCCAGGTTCGCAGTCCCTGCACTCAGGCCGCGAGACCACTGGGCCGGTCGGCAACGCGCAGTCTATATATTATACGTCTATGGGAACTATAACTAGATGCGTCGCGCATGCGCGAAAAAAAGCGTCCCATCTAACAACACTACTTCGACTCGGTGTTGTTTCCAACGATGCCGCGCGTTTTAGCGTGCAATATTTGCGTTTCTCGTCGTAACGTTCACAGAGTTTATGCGTATGGACGAGTAAAGCGTGTAGTTGTACGCGTATACGATATCCTGCACGACATCAAGGTAACGTTTTGTGTTTTTGTGACTAAAGCAACGCCACATACGCTCTTTTAACGTTTTATTAAACTGCTCAATCATTCGCGTTTTTATACGCTTGTTTTCACGAGAGATCTGCGGGGTACGTAATGACGCGGATCGTTGGGAAAGATACACGTTCGAAAACGATATTCGTCCGGTGTCGATTGTTTCAAATCGAGTAGTAAATAGCCGTGACGATGCGAGGTGGCGTCGTAATACGCTTCTTCCAAAAATTTTGCGTCGTTGAAATAGACTTGACGCGCGAGTTGACAAATTTGCGCGCGATCGCGTGGGTTTTTGAAAACCACAATGTAATTCGCATTCAGCTAAATATCGCGCCCCTGATGAAAAAGATTTTGCAAAATAAGTATAACATTGAGATTTTTATGATGACTACTTTTGGTAAACAGATCTATGATCACTTCACACGATGACAATTCCCGCATAAGATCGTTGATTATAATTAATTTCGCGCAGAGCAGTGCGTTTGAGTAATCTTCCGTGCGAGGTAGTTCTTCGCAAAACTCGATTTTACATTTTCTCGTCGTCATCATCATCATCTCGCGTTTCAACTAAAGATAGGCTTCTTGCCGCTCGCCGTAATAATATAAAACT